CTGTAACTTGAGAAATGCTGAGTGCTTTACTCCCTTTGATTTTCTAACTCCAGATCTTTTACAGTTCATTATAATACTTGACTTTGTCTTCTCAAGCTGTTCTCTGAAATTTTCTAGCCAGCTCTTTGACTTCCTCATTTCTTCCATTCATCTTAACATATCTAAGAGCAAGTTTCAGACTCTGTTCTGACATCCATTTTGGTCTTTCCTCTTTTTTAATGACCTTTGGCTTTCTTCCCATATGATATTCTTGATTTCATCCAACAACTCTACTAGTCTTTGGTCACAGTGTCTAAAGCATCAAATATGTTCTTGAGATGATCTCTAAATTCAGGTGGGATACATTCAAGGTCATATTTTGGCTGTCATGAATTTGTTTTAATTTTCTTCACCTTCAGCCTGAATTTGTAGGTGAGGAATTGATGGTCTGTTCCACAATCAGACCCTGGCCTTGTTTTGTCTGAAGATGTGGAGTTTTTTGATCATCTCTTCCCACAGATGTAGTCAATTTGATTCCTGTGTATTCCATCTGGTGAGGTACATGGGCAAAGCCTTTTTTATATCATTTAAAATAGGTGTTTGCAATGAATAAGTCATTGGTCTTGTAAAATCCTATTATTTGATCACCAGCATCATTTCTATCTCCAGGGACATATTTTCCAATGACTGATCCTACTTCTTTGTTTCCAACCTTCATATTACAATCACCAATAATTATCAATACATCTTGATTGCATGTCGATCAATTTCAGACTGAAGAAGTTGGTTGTTGTTATTGTTATTGTCAGATGCCACTGCGTCAGTACCAACTCATAACGATCCTATGCACAACAGAAAGAAACACTGCCCCATCCTGCACCAACCTCACAATCATTGCTACATTTAACCCCTTGCTGCTGCCACTGTGTCAATCCATCCCATTGAGGATCTTCCCCTTTATCTCCAACACCCAACTTTACCAACATGGTAAAGGGACTGATCCATCCTGGAAGTATGCCTAAAGTATGAGAGAAGAAGTCTGGCCATCCTGGCTTCCAAGGAGTATCCGACTGTACTTCTTCCAACACAGATTGGTTATTCTTTTGGCAGTCCATGGTACTTTTAATATTCTCCTCCAACACCATAACTTAAATGTATCAATTATTTTACAATCTTCCTTATTCGCTGTCTAACTTTCACATGCATATGAAGCTATTGAAAATACCATGGCTTGGGTCAGGAGCACCTTAGTCCTCAGACTTATATATTTGCTCTTTAACACTTTCAAGAGGTCTTGTGTAGCAGATTTGCCTAATGCAATATGTCATTTAATTTATTGAATGCTGCTACCATGAGTGTTGATGGTTGAGCTGAGCAAAACGAAGCCTTTGGCAACTTCCATCTTTTCTCCATTTATATGGATATTGTTTATTGGTTCAATGGTGAGGATTTTTGTTTTCTTTACATTGAGATGCAACCCATATAGACCACTGTGGTCTTTGATCTTCATCAGTAACTATTTTAAGTCTTCTTTGCTTTCAACAAGCAAGGTTGTATCGTCTGCATATTACAGGTTGATAATGAGTCTTCCTCCAATCCTGATGTCACATTTTTCATATAATCCAGCTTTTCAAATTATTTGCTCAGCATACAAATTGTACAAGTATGGTGAAAGAATACCACCCTTACACACACCTTTCCTAATTTTGAGCCATTTGGTGTTCCCTTGTTCTGATCAAACAACTGCCTCTTGGTCTATGTACAGATTCCTCATGAGCACAATTAATTTTTCTAGAATACTCATTCTTGGCATGAGTACCACAATGCTGTCCACAGCTTAGTGATGATCCACACAGCCTTTGCGTAGTCAATAAAGCACAGGTAAACATCTTTCTGGTATTCTCTGCTTTCAGCCAAGATCCATCTGATGTCAACAATTATCTCTCTCATTCCACTTCCTCTTCTGAATCTGACTTGAACTTCTGAAAGTTCTCTGTCAGTGTATGGTTGCAGTGGCTTTAATATTTAATCTTCAGCAAAATTTTTCTTGCATGTGCTATTAATGAAATTGTCTGATGATTTCCATATCAAACTCCATGATATTGAGTTTCCAAAACTCCATATCATCAGACAAAATAAGGTCACCTCTCTTTGGAATGAGCACAAATAAGGATCTCTTCCTGTCAGTTGGCCAAGTGGTTGTCTTCCAAATTTCTTGGCATAGATGAGTGAGTGCCTCCAGTGCTGCATCCTTTGTTGAAAGAGTTCAGTTTGTATTATATCAATTCTTGAAGCCTTGTTCTTTGCCAAGGCCTTCAAGACACCTTGGATTGCTTCCTTCCGTATCATTTGCTCTTGATCATATGCTACCTCTTGAAATGGCTGAACATTGACCACTTCTTTTCGGTCAGTGACTCTGTGTATTCCTTCCATCTTCTTTTGATGCTTTCTCCATCTTTCAATATTTTGTCCATAGAAACCTTCAATATTTCAAGTAAAGACTTGAATTTTTTCTTCAGTTATTTCAGCTTAAGAAATGCTGAGTGTGTTCTTCCCTTTTGGTTTTCTAATTCCAGGTCTTTGCACATTTCATTATAATATCTGACTTTGTCTTTTCAAGCTGATCTTTGAAGTTTTTTATTCAGGTTTTTTTTTTTTTTTACCTCCTCATTTTTTCCATTTGTCTTAATGTCTCTATGCCAAGAGCAAGTTTCAAAGTCTCTTCTGACATCCATTTTGGTCTTTTCTTTCA